TATATAAATATAATTCTAATTAGTGCTGTCAAGCGATTAATCACATCCGAGTTTTTGTTTACATAATATATATGTGTGTACTGTGTATATTTACTATGTATATATAAATACACACATGCATGTATATATTTAAGACAATATATGTCATGTTTATATAAGAAATATACTTCTATATAATATAAATATATTTAAATACATGTAAATATTTTCAAAATATATACTTTGTGTGTGCATTTATATATACATAATAAATATACACAGTACACACACATATTGCTAAACAAAAACCTTTATTTTGGATGCAATTAATCAGGATTAATCGCTTGACCGCACTAATTCTAATTATAAAATATAAAATAATTAAAAAATAAAACCATTTTAAAATGCAAAAATACTATTTAATGTGTATATGAGTTTACAATTAACATTAACATAGCAACTATGTCATTAATCACACATATTTGTCTCAGAATAAATAATCAGGATAATTTCATGATTGTGACAGCCCTAAAAAATATACACTTACATAGAATTAATACAGAATACAGAGTTAAATTGATTTCTTCTCATTAACCTGTTAACCTGCACCCCCCATTTTGGGACTCACAGCTGAAAATGACCTACCTAACTTAAAATTATAACAGTTCCTGACTTCAGTGTGCTACACACACAATTTTGGTGTCTTTGGAAAGAAGACCCTTTAGGCTTTACTATCTATCATCCAGAGTTGATAATGCTCAAAAAGATAAAAAGTTATAGACACTGAAGTGCCTTGAAAAAATTGTACCACATAATAATAATATTAATAATAATAATAATAATATTCCTGACTTCAGTGTGCTACACACACAATTTTGGTGTCTTTGGAAAGAAGACCCTTTAGGCTTTACTATCTATCATCCAGAGTTGATAATGCTCAAAAAGATAAAAAGTTATAGACACTGAAGTGCCTTGAAAAAATTGTACCACACTGAATTTTTTGTTTGTTTCATGAAATCAGTCCTGGAGCAATCCAGAATAGTAATGGGTTGAAAGTCACATGTCTCATGAGTTTCTATTTCAAATCTGAAGAAGATACCATGAAAAGTTAGTCCAGGTGCGGGTTGACAGGTTAAATTTAAATCAGTAAAGTGAGATAAAACCTCAAATGGTTTTGTTTTCTAGGTAGGGTGTGTTGATATACAGACTGTTTAGCAAGCATAAGAAGGTAAATGTTGAGGACATATTGTTGTATGGTCCTTTGAAGCGATGTCTGTTTGACCCACTTTAGTCATATAGCTCAACAATCAGTCTTATCTCAGAAAGCTGGATAAAGCTGCCCAGCAGCCTTGCATTTCATTAGCAGAGCATTTCTACATTTCACTGAGGGTCGTGAGCACGCACATAAACACACACATCTGTGCCGAACAGAATCATACGCACATATTTGCACACATGCAACAGAGAAAACTCAAGGTTATAGAGTGTGGGTAGATTGAGAGCTTAATTCAGCGCTTCTGTGATATTTGACTTCTCTTTCTCTCACACATACGTTACAGCATTCGCTCTCTCACTTGACCCTCCTGACGTCTGTCTGCTAAATAGCATCTGACCTTCTCTGACCTCTAGTTTTTGAGATGGAGAGGGAGCGAGATAACAACTAGCGTTTCAGCTTACAGCTTGGCTTCAGATCAAATGAAAAAATGTGCTGAGAATGACACAAGTAATGATGAAATTGGAGGAAAGGTATTCATCTTTGACATTTAATGGCCGCTCCCTTTTGTTTTTCAGTAGGTCATGATGAATTATTGTGTGTCTGACAGTGTTTAGTGCCCATTTTGAGTGTGTGGGAAAGAAAAACCATTCTCACATAGAACACGTGGGATTACATGGTACCCATGCACTTTGTAAACCCGCTTTGGACATTTCACATTTGCAGTTAAGTAAAGCTAATTATTAATTTGTTCCATCATCTAGCACTAACGTAGAGGGATAGCAACAGATTTAACCCTATAATCTCGTTAAGATCACAAGTTAGCAGCACTACTGCATTTGTGCTTAAAATGAGTTAAATTCCTACAAAAAAAATAGAACATCTTTATTAATGCTACTTTACATTAATACATTTATGCATAACCAAGTAGGAAGGTATATAATCTGTTCATAAGCTATTAAACTAATTATTTTATTGAATTAATTGGTAATTATTAAATTATCTTATCTGTATCAGTCAGAATTCCAGTATCATTACATCCCTAGTAATTTAGTGAAAAGGGTTTTGTTCAGCTCTAAAATATTTAAAGGGATAGTTCACCCAATGAAAATTATTTCATCATTTACTCACCCACATGTTGTTCCAAACTTGTATGTTAAGATATTTTAACGGTGAGTAAATGATGACAATATATATTTTTTTTCATTTTCTTTTTCCCCCCATGGAAAAAAGGCAAAAAGGCATAGGATGTAGCTCTTTTGCAACAATCTCTGTTTCTCTCACTCCCCCTTGTCTGTATTGTCGCTCACTCCCTCGGAATATCTTTACAGAACTGAATGAGTCATCCCGTGTCTGTAGATTAATGAGAGAGAACGTGTGCGTGTGTGTGTGTGTGTGTGTGTGTGTGCGTGCAAGAGCTATTGTCTTAGTATTGTCTTAGTAACCTTAAGTTTTATTTAAGGGCCTTTGATAGCAAGTCTCATTCAGCTGTCCTGACACACAAACATATACACAGACATTCATAGATGTTAGACACAAATAATGGGCTTTAAAAGGGCCCTCACATTATTATTATTTTTTTTTAAGCTATTTAAAACACTCTAAGTTAAAGTTAAGTTTAACTTATCTATCTATCTATCTATCTATCTATCTATTTCAGTCTTTATTCAGAGCTTATGATATTTTCTAACCCTGAACTTAACCCTGACACAAAACCTTCTGCATTTTTTCGTTTTCATTAAAACATTATTTAATACAGTATGTTTATTAAGCTTAAGGTTTCCAACTGGGGGCCATTGGCTGCTTCACACAATGTAGGTGATGTCAGGTTTTACTATCCTTGTGGGGACGTTTGGTCTAGACAGTGTAGTAGGCAAAACCTCTCTTTCTCTCTCCCTCAGCTGAGCACACAAACTGCTGTATCGGTCAGATGCTTCCTTCTTTATGAGTTTTTGCTTCCAGGGAATGCAGTGAGACCTGAGGGATTTTATCTCTTCTTTTTAATCCCTCTATCCTCGCTTTATAATTTTTTTCTATGTGCTACAGTACGTATCTTTCTGTTTTCCTCTGTTCCCCTGTGCAATGGCTTTGCTTTCCTGTGCACCCGCTATTTTTACTCACCCGTTTTATTTTTATTTTTCTGCTTTCCTTTCCATTTTATATTTATATTTATGTCTTACTGTGCTTAATGTCTTCTCGCTCTCTCTCGTCTCTATTGTTTCTTGTGTTTCTCTCTCATCTCGTTCTGATTACGGGTGAGCTATAGTCTAGCTAATTAACTCTGACAGTAATGGACAATATTCTTGGCCTTTTCTTAATAGTTCCCACTACTGTGTAAGGGGAGAATCTCAAGGCTTATGTGTGACTAGTCTCATATTTTAATGGTTCTGAGAGTTTTTTTTTCCCTCACTCTGCTGATCATACCTTTTACAACTTGACAGTTATTATACCTGTAATTATTAAAATGTGGAAATGCTTGAATACTGAGGTTTGTTTGTATGTAGCATCCAAAATAATTTTTTGGGCAACACCTGTCATTGCTGAAAATTTGCCAGGCATAAGTATTTCTTACCCTGCATAAAACAGCATTTTGCACTATTTTTTTTTTAATTTTATTAAAAATGTTTAGGAGAGTGAGATTATTTAGCTGTCAATTGCAGCATTCTATATGCATAATCTGTCAAATGCCACCTCATTTAAAAAATAAATAAATATAAACTTTAAAAAAAACTTTTTATTGATAAACTTATGATTGTAAAATAAGGTAAAAGTTGTTTGAAGGTGAGGTCAAGCATGATGGTAGAGCCACTACTTTAAAATAAGGGTTACCACAATCATGGAAAACCTGTAAATATTCCGGTAAATACCATGGCATCAGCGCTCATGAAGGATTTTTAAGCTCTGAGGTCTACAGCCACACTACCCACACTCCTTTTCTCCTGTATCCCAAACCAATGCTTTTGTTTTGATTGACATAATACCCTATTATCTGGAGTCAACACGTTTTTTGGATTCCTCTAAGCTGAAACATTCTCGCTTTTCAGCGATGTCTTAAAATAATACCCAGTGCTGAAATTCTAAACATTGGTGGCCAAATAAATATCCACATTTACTATGAATGGAAGGTCTGCTACTTGGAAAAAAAAAAAAAAAAAAAAAAAAGGCTGCTTACCAAGGCAGCATTTATTTGATCAGAAATACAGTAAAAGCAGTAATATTATTAATCATTAAAAGTTAATGAAAATAACTATTTTCTACTTTAATATATTTTTAAATACATTTATTCCAATGATGATAAAGCTGATTTTTCATCAGCCATTATTCCAGTCTTCAGTGTCACATGATCCTTCAGAAACCATTCTGCTGATTTGGTTCTCAAGAATCATTTCTTCTCATTATTACTGTTGAAAAGAAAATAGTTTTGCTGCTCATGTAATCATGATTCACCGCTGTAAATAGAGACTGAGACACACACACACACACTCTGAATTGTATTTGGGACGCTGGGCTGAACTCTGGACTGTGTGTGTGCGCACGTCAACAGTGAGTAGACTGATTTTTCTGTCTAACTCCCATTTGCTGGTTTTGATAGGCTCCCTGCCAGATCGCTTTGATCGGAGCAGCTTTCACTTCAGCACTAGCATCTCTCTTTCCTTGTCTCTTTCTTTTCTTTCATGTCCTGACAGACATCAGCAGCACAAACACTTCGATTACAATGACAGACCCTCCATACAATTGCTCCATCTACTCTGCTCTCTTTCGTTTTTTAAACTAATATTGCTCACATATCAAAATGTTTTTGTAATAGGACTTCCTGACAGATCTGATGATGTCGGAGGTGGATCGATGCGGGGAGAATGAGCACCTGATCTTCAGAGAGAACACGCTGGGCACTAAAGCAATCGAGGAGTACCTCAAACTGGTCGGACAGAAGTATCTGCAAGATGCACTGGGTAAGATCTTTGTGTGTGTGTGCAAAAAAAAACATTATTTTCTGAAAATGTCTGTACTACAATTTGTTATGTCCGAGTTGCCAAGTGACAGGACCGTCAAAATAATTATATTAAATAAATATGTACTGGTGTTCAGTCTGCAGACTTGAAATAGGAGACACTTTATCAGCACAAACTTTCTGTCCTGCACAAACATTAGAAATATTTCCCAATTTTATTTTGTGCTAAATTGCCTGTATTCATTTTAGATGAGATTAAACAGCTGTGAAAACACACACAAACAAACATGCACACACATATCCGGCCACCACATTCACTGTTGGCTTACTCTGTGTCCGATAAGGATTGTGTTTATTAATACCACTGTATTTTAGGAATAAAATGTGTAAATCGCTGGACTAGCAATTTATCTGCAGAACCAAAATACATGCTGCAAATTTCACACTGTATATAAATATCGACTTTGGGGAATCTAATGAGTGTAGATGTGAATGTGAGTGAGTACACCAAAGAGAGTGAATCTCTCATTAGATTTGCTTCAGGAAACCATTTGTTGGTGCTGAATAATGTATAGTTGTTTTTCTTAGATAAATGTGACTTGTGAAGTGCTGCTAAATTATTAAATGTCCCTCAGACATCATAGCAAGAGAGCAACAGTAAAGAGAGTGGATTTCACCACATGGTTACATAAACGGCATATATGCACGAGAGACGAACCTGGTCATTTCATTTACTCTAGTTACTACTACATCTACTCAAAAGCAACAGATAGAGTACTTGGAAAAAAAACTTATGTTTTATTTTTCAGTGTATTATTGTTCAGTTGTTCAGTCAATAAATCTCATTTTCAGATTGAATCACGGGTTACCACTAAAAACGATGGCTTAACTAATCATGAAATTAAAAATAAGGATTTTTTGGTGTTATGGTTATTAGATTTTGATTGATGAAAAATGCTGTGAATGCAAGTTAAGTCCCGTGTTTTCTTGATGAGTACTTCGGTAATCATGCTAATCGCTAAGAGTTTGTGTGTGAACTTTTGACACTACTGCAGCCCAACATACTGGTTATTTGAGCGATTCGTTTTGTATTTGTGGCCTTGAATGAGTTTTCAAACTTCTTTTGTTTTACATTGTATTAGGGGCGTAATGGCACACAAACATGACGGTTCGACACGTACCTCGGTTTTGACGTCACGGTTCGGTATAGTTTCGGTACAGCAGGGGGGAAAACGGTTCGACAGTATACAGTATAACTGGTTAAATAAATGCAGCCTTGCTGAGCATTAGAGACTTCTTTCAAAAACATTGCAAAATCTTATTGAACAGCAGTGTATTTTTTCTATTGATCTGAAGCCATATAATAATATGGCCACTGAGTGTCTCTTTAGTCTCTAACAGGAAGATGAAGAACGAGGAGTCTAGATCAGTTGGACGTCCACATGGTTTATGCTACACTAGTTTGATTTTTCCCTGATGCTTTTATGCGCAACAGAACTGAGGGGGGGAAATCGACCAGTATCTGTTCTGAGTCTCTGTGGAGAGGGATCTGGCTGTGCTGTTTGTTTGGGATCAACAAAAAGTTTGTTGTATATTCCCAGGACAGCTTCTCTCATTAGTTCCGAGTCAGATAACTAAAGAGCTTTGACTGGTTGCCTCATAGTGGAATGGAAATAAAATGGGGATGAGCTCTGGGGTGCCGATTTTCATTTTTGCTAATATTTGTGAGACAGGTTGTTTGAATGAAAGATGGCAGGGGGGTTGTACGGCAGGTTGCCTTGCTGACATTTAGGAATGCAAGCGTTCTTGTGCCAAATACAGAATAATGTCAAGATTAATCGATAGATGACACCATTCCTTGAAAAATGCTATTTATGTTGAAACAACTAGACTTTACACAGGATGAATTTAAAAACACCAGGGTCTTTAATGTATTTTCTATTTCTTCCACTGTAGGTGAGTTTATAAAGGCTCTGTATGAGTCTGATGAGAACTGTGAGGTGGACCCATCCAAATGTTCATCTAGCGATCTAGCTGAACATCAGAGCAACCTCAGGATGTGCTGTGAGCTGGCTTTCTGCAAGATTATTGAGTCTTACCGGTAACTACAGTGTGCCCTTCACAGCTGTCTGTTGATGTGAACCAGTGATGCATTTTATTACTCAGATGTTTCATAGCTGCTTATTTCAGTTATCAACGTTGTCTCGGGTGTTTCTCTTAAAATAAAACTAAATAGACAATATATAATATGAGTATAGAGGTATAAAATGAAGCAGGGGAGTTAAGCTATACTACTACTACTACTAATAATAATAAAAATAATAATAATATTAGTATTATACACAGACTGATGATCAGAGTGATTTGTTTGTGAGTGTTGTATATTACATTTCTACGGTGACCCAATAAGGCACAACACAACAAAATCTCCACAACACAACGGAATCTCCGCAACACAACAAAATTAACGGAAATAAGCCAAAACACAATGGAAACAAACCGCAACACAGTGAAATTAGCACAACACAACGGAAACAAGCCACAACACAATGAAATTAGCACAACACAATGGAAACAAGTCGCAACATAACAGAATTAGCACAACACAATGGAAACAAGCCAAAACACAATGAAATTAGCACAACAAAATGGAAACAAGCCGCAACACAACGGAATTAGCACAACACAACGGAAACAAGCCACAACACAACAAAATTAGCACAACACAATGGAAACAAGCTGCAACACAATGGAAACAAGTCGTGTAACAACGAAATTAGCGCAACACAAACGGAAACAAGCCACAACACAGTGAAATTAGCACAACACAACTAAATTAGTGCAACACAATGGAAAATAGTCACAACACAACAAAATTTGCACAACACAAACAGAAACAAACTGCAACACAACATAAACAAGTCGCAACACAATGGAAACAAGTCGCAACACAACAGAAACAAGCCACAACACAGCAAAATTAGCACCACACAATGGAAATAAGTCATAAAACAACGAAATTAGCACAACACAATGGAAATAAGCCGCAACACAATGGAAAAAAGTCATAAAACAGCAAAATTAGCACAAGACAATGGAAACAAGCCACAACACAACAAAATTAGCACAACACAATGGAAACAAGTCGTAACACAAGGAAATTAGCACAACACAATGGAAACAAGTCGTAACACAACGAAATTAGCACAACACAAACGGAAACAAGCCACAACACAACAGAAACAAGCTGCAAGACAACGGAAACAAGCCACAACACAGCGAAATTAGCACAACACAACTAAATTAGCACATCACAAACAGAAACAAGCTGCAACACAACGTAAAGAAGTCGCAACCCAGCGAAATTAGCACCACACAATGGAAATAAGCCGCAACACAATGGAAACAAGTCATAAAACAGCGAAATTAGCTCAACACAATGGAAACAAACCACAACACAGCGAAATTTTCAGTTTTAGAAGTGAAATAAAAGTTTAATCACTGAGATCTAACACTAAAGGATATTTTTCCCCCCTCAGTTGTTTGCAAAAGGATAATAAATAGTTTTTATTATAAAAATGTTCAGTTTTAGAAGTGAAATAAAAGTTTAATCACTGAGATCTAACACTAAAGGATATTTGAAAGGATAATAAATAGTTTTTATTAACAAAATTTTTATGAATTTTGTGAAACTACTTACTAGTAGGAATAACTGTTTGCAGTTTTGTCAGGGTTTTTTTCCCCATCTAAATTCAACGTTCAACTCTCCACTCCTCAACAGTGTGTTTCCACGGGAACTTAAGGAGGTGTTTGCGTCATGGAGACAGGAATGTGGTAATCGAGGGCGACCAGATATCAGCGAGCGTCTTATCAGCGCTTCGTTGTTTTTACGTTTTCTGTGTCCGGCAATCATGTCGCCTTCTCTCTTCAACTTGACGCAGGAGTACCCAGACGACCGCACTGCACGCACACTCACTCTTATCGCCAAGGTTACACAGAACCTCGCAAACTTCACCAAGTAAGGATTTCATTTACTCTGGTGTGAGTGTGTGTGTTTGAGCAGGGTGCTCAATGTTTGTGCTTTAATGTTTCACAATGGAGCTGACGAATGAGTTTCAAAATACCTCAGTTTGATAGCTTGTCATGTTGTTATGAGCACAAATACTATTAATAAGAATGAAATGAAGCTTATAGATATAATTATGATTATAGGATCATTAGCGTGGTTAATTGAGTTATTAAACGCATCAACGATTCGTTCTTATTCTTGCTTTTTTGTCAGGTTTGGTAATAAGGAGGAGTACATGTCCTTCATGAATCAGTTCTTGGAGCAGGAGTGGACCAACATGCAGCGGTTCCTACTGGAGATCTCTAACCCAGAGACCATCTCAAATACTGCAGGCTTCGAGGGCTATATTGACCTGGGCCGTGAGCTCTCCACCTTGCACTCCCTTCTAGCTGAGGTGGTGTCCCAAATGGACCAGGTTAGTCTCTTGACTCTGCAGTTGGTTCCATTTGATTGTATTTGTAGTGTAAAGATTTTCAGAAGGAATGCATTGTGCTGTTCATACATGCATACATACTGCAAAAATTGTTTTCTAATCAATATTTTGGAAGGAGAAAAAAAACAGAATATATTCTACAATTTTGTTTTTGCATTGGAAACAAATAAACTATAATTTTAAGCATACAGTGTATCTATATCTAACTCTCTCTCTCTCTCTCTCTCTCTCTCTCTATCTGTCTATCTAAAAATATACAGTATATATATATATATATATATATATATATATATATATATATATATACATACACACACATATACATACATATATACATATATATACAATATATGTAATAAAAATATGTATACTATTAATAATTATTAGATTTTTTCAGAAAAACAGGTTAAAATACTGATTGAAAATAAACTTTTGGCGTGATCATTTATTCACTGATGGTCAGACATTCAGGTTTCGCCATGTCTTCAGTGCAGTGTTTGCTGCAGGTGAATTCAGGATAGCATTGTGATAAGGCAGTTCATCACTTTGATGCCACAGAAGGTTCTAAAGTTGTGCTCCAGTTTTCTGTGTTCTTTGAGTAGGTGGACTGATTTAAGCAATTGCCTTCAGGCTGTAACAGTCAGACTTTAAAATCCTTCATTTTGTTGCTTTTAATGTTCAGACCATATAAGATATGTTCCCCATGTGTTTGTTTCTTTGTATCTTATTTTATACATATTTTTGGAAGAAATTATCTTCTAATCCTCCTCCTCCTCGAATGCTAAATATAGCCTAGCTGTTGTATTTGCCCAGATTTTCCACACTAAGAGAAAACTTCCAGTCATGCAAAATTTGTTTAAGCAGAGATGCATTTATCTGCAGCCTGTGCCTGTATGCCGGTACACCACAGACACTGCCTGCAACTATACAAGCATTGATTGCTAATTAAATGTGTAAATCTGGAATATACTCATAGCAGCACTTTGTTGAATTATTCAGATCACATTAGGTGGACATGCTCTGAAAGCTCATGTCCTCTCAGTGTTTGAGTTCTATGGGAAGTCCATTAGTCCCTAAGGCTGCCACAAACTGATAGTGGTCATATAGTGGTCAGACACAGTTATAAGAACTTTTAATTGATATTTCACTAATAATTTGTAGCCATACATCCATTAACATGTTGTGATTATGAAACAATTCTTTTAAAGCCAGAGAGATTCAGCCAACCAGAATGTCACAGAATCAGCCAATTATAAAAAAAATTAAATTAAATTAAAGTCAAATTTGAACTTATCTAGGTCTTGCCTGTTCAATTATTAAATGCTTTTGGAAAAGATCAGAGAGTAAAAAGCTTATGTGCAGAAACTTAGTCTTCTGTATCTTAAATTTTGTCATATAAATTCTGTACATGAAGCAGGTTCAATTCCACCCATTTTCTCCATGAAGTAAACACAAATTTACAGAATACAATATAGTTATAGATAAATTATATAAATTATTATCTTGGTGAGCATTATGTTATTATGAATATATTAAGCATTATGTATATATTATGATTAATATATTAGATTATATAAATTATTATCTTGGTGATTCTCAAAAGTTAATAAGATTTTTAAATGTTTTTGAAGGAAGTCTCTTATGCTCCCCAAGGCTGCATTTATTTGATCAAAAATACAATAAAACAGTTAACTTGTGGGTTATTCTTTACAATTTAAAGTAACTGTTTTTTATTTTAAATATTTTAAAATATAATTTATTCCTGTGATGGCACAGCTGAATTTCTCTAATCTTCAGTATCACACACACAAAAAAGCATTCTTTGGTTTAATAGAAAGTTCAAAAGAGTGGCATTTATTTGAAATAGAAATAGATGTCTGCTTTCATATTTGATCAATTTAATGCATGTATTAATTAAATATTACTGATCCCAGTTTTAAAGTTTTTAACAACAGTGCATATTTGAGGTGTAAAAAAATATATGTCATTAATTAAGTTTTATTTTTCACAACTATTACTTAAAATTCACTCTTGAAAATACATAAAACAGGACGTTTGCAGATCAGGCTTTTATAAATCAGTCGGCAGATACAGCTGTGAGTTATGGCTAAATATTGGTGGATTAATCTGTCTGGTGGGTATATCGGTATATCACTAATATACTGTAGCGTTTTAGGAGGTAATTAGGTTTATTTATTTATTTTTAATTCAAAACAGTTTATCAGTAACAGTGTTCCTAAGGAATCAACCCTGTGACCCATTGCTAGAGCCATGCTCTCGCAGTTCACCTACAGGATGTCATTTCCACACAGTCATTGATCTGTTGTCTTCTACCTCAGTTCTCAGGGGGCTATTAGGGAGTCCTGCACAAATATAAGAGATATTTGGGGTATGCGTTCATTTTCAATGAAATCTTTCATTGATGTCCTCAGAGTGGTACCTCCAAGCTTGGCCCATTACCTAGAATACTGAGGGACGTACATGGAGCGTTAACAAACCCATCAAACATACAGATGAGTGTCCCTCCTGATCGTGTGCCGTCCCCTCCAGCCCCTGGATGCAGCATCTCCAGTGGATTACAAAAGATGGCCATCGACAGTGACCTACCAGGGTGAGCCACGAATCAGATCCACCGCATCAAATGTGTTCAAATGTAACCAATCAGAATCAAGTATGTCCATAATTGTGCACAGCTGTGCAAAAAGCATGCTGTAGATTTCATGATGAATAGGCATTCTGACAAATCAGCTTCAAGCTCATTGTTATTTCAGGCAGTGACACAAAGTTGTGAAGTACAGCTATATTGCTTATGGATATTCATCGTTATCTGTCACTTTCAGCCAAAAGACTGTCCTCGTTTCTGTTCTTAAGAGTGTGCCCTTACTTTATCCAGCAGACTGCTCTTTTAAAGAGAGCGGCTCATCTTTATCTGTCTAGCTCGCTGCTAATTCCCTACCGACATTTATGAGAGCCAGAGAGAATGAGAGGCCTGTAATTGTAGTTCTCACACACACACACACACACACACACATTGAGGGAAGGGGAAATAAATATACTGGGGGATCAAAAGAGATGGAGGCTGCAAGGAGAAAGAATCGAGTGAAGCTTGTTGGTTGGTGTCTGGACGGAGATTATGATGAAATAAATTAGCATTTTGTTCCAGATATCCAGACAATAAACAGTCTGGGTAGAAGTAAAGACAGAAAGAGACGCATAATAGCTTTGCATTCTCTCTGATGCTTTATACCTGTCTGGAACTGTCTAGCATGGCATTTATGCGTGTTTGAGAAAGACTTGTGGGAAGTTTTGTTTCTCAAACACTAACTTGTGTATTATGAGAGTCTGGCATGTTTGATCACACTTTATTTTAAGGTACAATTCTCGCTATTAACAAACCATTAACTATGACTTCTTATTTGCTGCTTATTAATAGTTAGTAAGGTAGTTGTTAAGTTTAGGTATTGGGTAGGATTAGGGATGTAGAATATGGTCATGTAGAATAAATGTTTAATAAACAGCCAATATGTTAGTAATAGGCATGCTAATAAGCAACTAGTTAATAGTGAGAATCGGTCCCTGTACTAAAGTGTTACCACATGTTTATAGATTATAGCTCTGTTTCAAATCCTAGTGAGCTGCCTACAGTAGGTAGGCAACATTTTAAGACATCAGGTGTATTCCCGATGCTGTTCCAAAACGTCAGCAGCAAAATTATACTGACTTCTAAGATAACATCTTGGACGGCATCGCATGGCATCCTTTGTGGATGCGGAAATCTCAGAATATGTTGCTATAGGCTCAGTATAAAATCGACTGACTAAGCTCACAAAATGTACAAAATAATGTTAGTCAACAATACTTAAATATAGTCATTTTTATTTGTGTGTGCTGGCTATTTTGTGCTTGTTAGAGTAAAAAAGGTGTTATCTTCATCAGGGTTTGTTAACACATATCAACTAACTAGTCCGTTTGACAGGTCATGGTTCATAAATGATGTCCTCCTACCAGGAACTTCCAACATTAGCAAAAAGAAAATCTAAACAAGCTTGCACTTTGGATAATATTATTTTAACCCTTAAATGCATATATTGGGTCTTTAGCAACCTGGGACATCATTCACTACCCTCTCCCTCCTTCATTTTCTAAGGTTAGACATCAACTTTCTTAGAATTCCTTAAGCTGTTCATTATAAGCAATACAAAAAGAAAAAATAATAAAATATAAAATAATGTTGCTAGCGACCCGACTTGTGTAAGTATATTTTTCCTGCGCAACAGTAATTACAAATCCAGCCGCCTCTTCGGCCGTCACTGGGACCACTGCAGCCTTTCCGGCCATCACTGGGGGCGCTGCAGTTTCTTCGGCCGCTTCCGGGGCCGCTGCAGCCTCATCAGCCCCCTCTAGGGGCACAGCAGCCTCTCCAGCTGCCTCTAGGGGTGGTGAGGCATACCCATTCCCCCGGGATCTGAACACCACGCTCCAACATGAAACAGTACACGCAGACGAGAGCGCACGGCTCAAGCACACTCGAAGCCGCACGCTCACATGAAAACAATGACATGACGCGAGTGTCAGGGCTCTGTCACAAAACTATGAATTACACTAGACCGAAGTGACAGAACCCTGACAGAAAGACTTGTGGGAAGTTTTGTTTCTCAAACACTAACTCGTGTATTATGAGAGTCTGGCATGTTTGGTCACACTTTATTTTAAGGTACAATTCTCGCTATTAACAAACCATTAACTATGACTTCTTATTTGCTGCTTATTAATAGTTAGTAAGGTAGTTGTTAAGTTTAGGTATTGGGTAGGATTAGGGATGTAGAATATGGTCATGTAGAATAAATGTTTAATAAACAGCCAATATGTTAGTAATAGGCATGCTAATAAGCAACTAGTTAATAGTGAGAATCGGTCCCTGTACTAAAGTGTTACCACATGTTTATAGATTATAGCTCTGTTTCAAATCCTAGTGAGCTGCCTACAGTAGGTAGGCAACATTTTAAGACATCAGGTGTATTCCCGATGCTGTTCCAAAACGTCAGCAGCAAAATTATACTGACTTCTAAGATAACATCTTGGACGGCATCGCATGGCATCCTTTGTGGATGCGGAAATCTCAGAATGTGTTGCTATAGGCTCAGTATAAAATCGACTGACTAAGCTCAAAAAATGTACAAAATAATGTTAGTCAACAATACTTAAATATAGTCATTTTTATTTGTGTGTGCTGGCTATTTTGTGCTTGTTAGAGTAAAAAAGGTGTTATCTTCATCAGGGTTTGTTAACACATATCAACTAACTAGTCAGTTTGACAGGTCATGGTACATAAATGATGTCCTCCTACCAGGAACTTCCAACATTAGCAAAAAGAAAATCTAAACAAGCTTGCACCTTGGATAATATTATTTTAACCCTTAAATGCATATATTGGGTCTTTAGCAACCTGGGACATCATTCACTACCCTCTCCCTCCTTCATTTTCTAAGGTTAGACATCAACTTTCTTAGAATTCCTTAAGCTGTTCATTATAAGCAATACAAAAAGAAAAAATTATAAAATATAAAATAATGTTACTAGCGACCGACTTGTGTAAGTATATTTTTCCTGCGCAACAGTAATTACAAATATGATGATTCAGTGAGTGAAATTCACCTTTATTCCTCAAGGTGGTACTGTTTGATAGACAATGATGACGTGATGTTTCACTCATAATTACCACAGGCATAAAACAAAAGAATATTGAGCTAGCTTGAATGGCAAAATATTGATTTTGAAGTCATTGAAAATTATAGTTTTAAGAATATGGTTAAGATCACGAATATGAGCCAGATGCTGAATATACTGGGAAAATGTGCTCTGACGATGACGGTGATGATAAAATCATCTGCTCATATTGAACCTTTCTAAGTTTCAAAAGGTAAGTGTGATGTCATCATCACCCGACTGGCCTGGAAATGGTGCACGGCTTCGACAGCAGAGCTCCTCCTCTAAGGGGGACAGTCCAGAAACGAAGCATCGCCCACCACATAAACAGGTGCGTATATGTTTGTAGTAGGGATGGGCGATATGACCAAAATTTTATCACGATACAAGTAGTTTTATGTCACGATCAGTGTTGGGGAAAGTTACTTTTAAAAGTAATGCATTACAATATTGCATTACTCCATAAAAAAGTAACTAAGTCAAAATTAAATGAAAATAGTGACAGATCTTTTCTTCTGTATTGCGAAGTACATCAGAATGAAACAGAGTACTGAAAAATGAAAAACAAAAAAAAACAAATGTAGAGCAGGGACTTAGTTCTATCAATCGACATTTTAATTAAAATGATTAGGTCAAATTAAAAAATTTAACACATGCATGGATGAATTGTTCATAATAAAATCAATAATATGCTCTTAGAAATTATAGTGATTTTTCATTTTTATGTTGACGGATAAGGATAAATATAACATAAATGAGGCAACAATTTGAAAATGGGGTGTGAAAAATAAACCTAATTTATTTTCTAAATAAAGGATGTTTCAACGTTTTTGTTGGAAAAAATGTAGTTCAGATCTAAATTGAAGATCTGTTCCCTGAAAACACATATTATCTTAAATTTACTTCTGATTTAAATGTATTTTATTTTCATTATGCTTTTAAGTATGTTTATTTGGAAAACAAAATGCTGATGAAGAAAATTATTTATTTGCAGTATAGTGGAGGACTATAATGGCAATTGTATGATATCATGATAAACAATTTGCATGAACTAAGCTACTAAACTATCTTAATTTTTCTGTTATATATAAAAATACACTCACGTGTCATACATGTTCTTTTTATTCAGCCTTATGTCATGCTAAATGTCATCATGTTGCCTGTTGAGAACACGATGCCCCTGGCATGACTTTGTGTGTGTGAGTGTGTATCTTGTTTAATCTTTGGTTTATTCATGCGTATGCGTGTGTTTGTGTGTGTCCCATAGGCCCCATCCCCAGTGAACCCCAGTGCATTGGACCGCACCGCTGCCTGGTTGATGAATGTGCCGTATATAGAGCAGGAGTCTGAGACGGAGCTTTGCAGAGATGAGCACACACAAGCTGAAAAGGTAACTGACTGCCCACACACCATAGCAGCAGAGATTTCGGCTCATGTAAACGCTCTGGAAGGGAAATGAATCATCATCATGCACTAATTTCACTCAGACAGGAGGATTCTCTCAGTGTCAGTGATCCAACATTCAGCTCTGTCTGAGTTGGGTGTTTTTGCATGCAGACTTAAGGGTGAAATGTGTAGGTTTTTTTATGTTAAGCTCACAGTTTAATGAGCAGAGACTCTAAGTAAGCCATCTGTAGTTTGACCTGAAGAGCCCGTGATATTTTCAACATTGTTTCAGCAGTGACAGATTGGGAATGGGTGGAAGAGGTGGTAGGAATGTTCGTAATTCCGCTTAATGCCAGTAGTGGTGCAGAAATTACACACTTCTTAGAAGCAATTTCTACAAGCGTGTATGTGGGTGAAAGAGACATACTCTAATACTCTGCTTCCTTTTTGCTGTTTTAATTCTTTGTACATTCTTTCTATTTCCTGTGTCCTATGACTGATATGAAACTAGCAGTAACTATATTATTTATTACTATTATAGTATTGATTAATATTTTAAATGAGCATTTAATAATAAAAAGTTATTTTCATCAAATATTTATATTTTATTTCAGCTTAATTTCAATTGCCGCAAGTGATTTTTACTAGTTAACAATATAACACTAGTAACTCTGATTCCAAGTTTGACATTACCATGTTCCTACACTAACATAACTTTTACAGCATGTATTCTATATCTAGGTTAATATTGAATTCTACATATATTAATGCATTTTTAACAGGATTTATAAATTAACATTAGTAAATATATTTTGAATAAACATAAATTATCAATAACCAAAATATATTTATGAATGTCGTTAATGTTTGTTAATTTATGAGACTTAAAGCATTTTTGATTAATGTTAACAAATTAAACCTTACTGTAAAAAGTTACCAATAGTCATCAGTAGTGTACAATTGGCACACCGTACATGATGCCACAAATCGAATACAAATACATTTCACGTGTAATTTAAAAAAAAAAATTTTAAATGAGGTGAAAGACGAAAAGAACTATGTTGTCTCTTGCAGTATCAGGCGGAGATCAGTATGCTGCAGGAGCGACTGCGTGTGTCGGTGCAGAGGCTGGAGGAATATGAGGCCCGGATCAAGGGACAGGAGGAACAGGCACAGAAGATGTTGCTGGAGTATCAGGCCCGACTGGACGAGTCCGAGGAGAGATTGAGACGGCAACAGGATGACAAAGATCTGCAGATGAAGGGCATCATAAGCAGGTGGGGAATACTTGTATTATAAAGGCTAAATCAGAATGAAGGCAGAGAGGCTGGTGATGAGAGATAAAATAAAGCAGAAAGAAAAGAAAAAAACAATCATATGTCAGTATAATAATGCCTATCTAGTTCACAACAGTCCACAATTTGGCCTGAATGGGTGAAATTGGTGGAAATGAATGCCACAAGTTCACCTTTTCATATAGTCCTTGAGTCAGATAAAAACATGAATTTACATTGAACAAACACAGAGAGGGCACTTTGCCTTTCAGGAGTCTTCCACAAGCCTCTGATGCTGAGTGTCATTTTGTTTTCAGCTGATAGTGTATTAGTGGCAATCTGAGAAGACCGAGAGCTTTTAGAAGACTTTTAGCCTTCCTCAAGGCAGAATTTACTGAGAGCTGCTTTCCTCCAAGACTGATGTTTTGGGGCAGCTATTTATGGCCTCGAGCTCTAGCTCAAAGACAGAATGGGGAGGATGTATGAAAGCTGGACTGAACGTGTGTTTGTTTTGTGTCGATGCAGGTTGATGTCTGTGGAGGAAGAGCTGAAGAAGGATCATGCTGATATGCAGGCAGCGATTGACTCCAAACAGAAGATCATTGATGCGCAGGTATGGCTATATATAGATATGTCAGTGGTGTAATATCTTAGTATGTCCGTTAATCTGTTTTTTTTTTGTCTTTTTTTTCTAAAATGTACTTATTTACTAATTTTAAATGTAAACATTTCAACAAATCAAATGAATTTCACAGATCTTTGCCTGAAGGTTGTCAACACACCAAAATGTCAGTAGTTCAGTAAAATTTCATGATGCTTGATGTTAATTTAAATAATTAGTTGGATGAACCATATTAATAGCACTGAGTAGTTTTCTTGTCAAATATATCTCATCCATTCCTCTTTTCCTTGTCATTTCTGTCTCCTTTCACTATTTTTGTATATAAGAAAGGCCAAAAAAGCATGGTTATGCTGTATTGGCAAAGCTGATTTTTTTTTAGCAGCCATTACTCCAGTCTCAGTGTCACATGATCCCTTTTATTGACCCCCACACTTTTGAACGATGTATGTTTTCCATTTAAATTTCTGTCACAATCTCACAACCCCCCTTATCGTTTGATCGGAACCCCTTTAGAAAAACTACAGTATAATTTCCACTTTGTCGTAGTTTTTCTAAAGAAACAGGTTTTTGCCATATATGCATCATTAATCATCATTAATGTTAATATTCACTGTCCTACAGTGAGGGCTGTGGAAATCTCTACTCCGCCAATTAAAATGACACCAACCAAGCCTAACATCACTATTCCTGGCTGATCTCTGAAATCTAAACAACACACCACACTTCCTAATACTACAACAGTGAATTCAAGGAAAATGCATATGCATTTTTATGCTGTATATTTACATCTTAGTTTCCAAGCGGTTTGTTTCCTCTCCTTTCATGTACACATGTTAGGAAAGAAATAAGCAATTAAACACTTGAGGTTGAGTGTCTCCACAAATAACGTCACAGACACGAGCCAGATCATGACAGTCGTGATGTTATTTGTGATTACCCTACAGTTTAATCGATCATCTACAGCAATTTTGCAAAGTAACATGAATCATAAATAAAATTTTGGTATCTTCAATCCCTTTTGCCAAAAAGTAGACAAAACAAAAAAGTAACTCAATACCTGTTTTGGTCCCACTTTATATTAAGTGGCCCTAATACCTGTGTTCTGACATAGTAACTAGATGATTACGTAGTATGTAACCACAGTGTAAGTACACATTGGTACATAGTATCTATAGCTCTAATGTTTGTGTAACTACACATATGTAACAACCCACTGAATGTTATGTGTAAGTACAAATGTGTAACAGAACATTGGTAACAACACTTTTTGGTAATGAAAGTGTTACACTTTATATTAGATTTACCATGTAATTACTCTGATGTTACACAGCAGCGGCCAGTAAGTTAGGCTTTACGTATAAATTGTGATTGGTGTCCAGAATGTTACACTTTATATTATGGACAGTTCCTGAGGAGTTACCATGTTAGTACACTGGTATTACAGTGGTGCACCAACTCGAGATCTAACTCCTCCCACTTCACATATCCCTAAACCTACCCATCTCCACCCCTGGATCAAATGGTTCCAATTACTCTTATACATATTGTTGTTACAAAATGTAGTTCTATAATTCCTGTTACACGAGTACTTAGTGAAGTGAAAAAAAGTGTTGTTACCAATGTCCTGTTACACATTTGTACTTACACAAACCATTCTGAGGGTTGTTACATGTGTATAGTTACAGAAATATTACAGCTGTAGATTCTATGTACCAATGTGTACTTACACTGTGGTTACATACTACGTACACATCTAGTTACTATGTAAATACACAGGTATTAGGGCCACTTAATATAAAGTGGGACCCATGCTTTCATTCTACAAAATGATCCACATGAACAACATGGGTCAATGCTTTTCAGCTAATCAGCCTGCATGCTCAGAATTGTTGGCATTACTTAGCTGGAGATCAAGCAAACTGAATGTCTTATGCATACTCATGTTCAGTAAATATATGCATAGTTACACATTCACTTTGATGATCCTTATACAGCCAGAAACATGGATGTGACAGTTAACCCATATAATATGAGAACCTAAAAGCCGATAACCCAAATGTTCTCTAAAATGCAGTCTATACCTGTTAACATCCAAACAATTGCTCCTTGCTGAAATGGCCGGTGTTGGTATTTTCATAGGATTTATGATTTGTATATGTACTGAAATTGTCTCTCTCTGCAGGAGAAACGGATAGCATCTCTGGACGCGGCTAACGCGAGGCTAATGAGCGCCCTGTCACAGCTGAAGGAGCGCTACAGCATGCAGACGCGGAACGGCATCTCTCCCACCAACCCCACCAAGCTGCAGATCACAGAGAACGGGGAGTTCCGCAACAGCTCCAACTGCTGAACGAAGCCCCCCGGATCCACAGAGAGACGGAATGAAGACAGAGGACACGAGCAAGTGTGCAGATATTCTGTAAGTGAACCCTGAGAGAAATACTGCAGGTGAGGATACTGAACATTGACCTTTGACGGTCTGCAAAGCGAATGTTTGGAATCGTGGAGCAAGATCCACTTTAAACATCCACTGGTGAGACTACTGTTCAAGTACTTCATGTTAGGACACACCACTAGACGTTCATTCGTGTTTCACAACAACTAACTGTAAAATAAAAGAAAAAAACAATACAGCTAACATGGTGACATTATCCAGATACTAGGACCTTCTAGCCTGCAAAAAAAGTCATTTCACTTGCTTTAAAATAGGTGTTCTCCATACAGCCTTTGAAAAAAAAGAAACTAGATTTTTTTCACATTCATTTATAATGGTCTCTACTTTAATATGAAACGACTGAAACTACAGAACGAGCAACTCTTTGTGGAGAAATTGGCGCTCTCCTCCATATCTCTCTTCCTGTTTGTTTCTCTCTACGTAGTGCACTTTGTCTCTCCATCATGAGAAGCCTTAAAATGTTACATCTGAAATACCCCCCAGTCCTTACTTTTATTTGATTTTTACAGTTCAGATGAATATCTATGATAGATTATAATGTGCATAGATTTTAAAAAGTAAATATTTTACATTCTCCTTCCACTATTTTCTTTTTTTCAGATATGCCAAGATTTTGAATTAGCACAGACTGCTCAGGCAGAGCAGAGTGAATGTTTTAGACACTAAACCAGACTGAAATGATTTTAGTTTGAAGTTTTGAAAACTGCCTTGTGTAGCTCATGTTTTCTTCCTAAATTGTTTAGGAGAGTTGTGCATGTTTTTCTTCTCCATTCTAATGTTTTAAGCCTTTTTAAGTCATTTGTACAGGTGTGTTTATTTTTGTATGTGTTGCCTCATCGGTCCAAATTGCTGCACACTTTGCATTTCAGCGTTTAGAGTTTGTATATTTTCATATTTAATAACATATGTGAGGACTCTTCTGCGTTTATCGTGGTGCAGCGTGGAGCTGCTGTTTTCCTTTCATTCATTGGTCTTTGAGGAAGTGAGAAGCATGCACGTCTTTATTTTGATGCAAAGAGATACATTATAAGACAGCTTGTCATGGGACGTGTAAGATAAGAGATGTTATTTTTAAAGGGAATCCTCTCTGTATATGGGCTCTGTGATGGAGTATTATGTGACTAAGTTAATATTATATATAAAGCAAGGTTCACAGGAACTGCAAAGTGAATGACGGCTGAAATGTTGGATCAGACTGAGACGCAGCAATCTAACAAGCACACACCACATCTCTTGCCCCAGCTTCTCAAACGCTTTAAAGACTATGCACTTTTTCCCTTTGTCATGTCCACTTGGGTTTACTTCACTCTACAAACACGTAGCAAACTCGAGGTGCTCGTTATTATTATTATTAAGCTAGGGATGCTTTATTTTGTCATTCAGTTTAATCTGTAGCATTATCATTTGCGCAACTGTAGCTATACACTATAAACAAAGCTGCACATGCAGTGGATGAGATTAGCAATTGGACTGTGTTACATACCGCAATCAATCACATGCTCATTTGATGCCCTGGTAAAGTAGTTTTGCATGTACTAAATGCTTCAGCACTGTCTGCATAAGGCAGATTAATATCTAGAGTTATTTCAAATTCATTTGATCAACTCTTAAACTTGGCTCGGGGCTCATATGGTTGCACAAAAGGGAACCAATATTTATTTTTCACACGTTTTCTCTTACAGACGTGGATGTCAGCTTCTCTGTTTGTTCATGTTCTGTTTTTAATGAGGTCTGAGGTTTTGCAGTCATTACGTTTATTTCCATCCACATGAGAAGCTACTAGTGAGTAAAACAAACAAAAAAAACCTGAAAAGAAATAGTAGTTTAGAACAGTGTTGAATGAAAAAGACTTTTGCTGTAGTCATTACGTTTATTTCCATCCACATGAGAAGCTACTAGTGAGTAAAACAAACAAAAAAAAAACTGAAAAGAAATAGTAGTTTAGAACAGTGTTGAATGAAAAAGACTTTTGCTGTCGTCTCGGTTCTTTTCATCAGATGTGTCTTTATCTGGCTTCATTTCAGTTCTCAAAGTTTAGGAAACGTTTGCAAGTAAAACTATTTGCGCATCTTTTCTTCTTCTCCAAGCAGTCAATGTGAAATAGTAGCTATGTGAAATAAATAATATAAAGATATATAAATGAATACCTACAATATGTTGTATGTTTTATAATCCTTGTAGAAAATTTTGTAAGTATGTTTAAAGTAAAGTATTGGCTGGACTCTTGCCTTGTTTTAGGACAATGACAAGAACAATAATGTACAGAGAAATGTGTCCATGTTAAGATCTATACAATTGTGGCTGTGCAATTTATGTACATTTGCAACTAGAATAATTAAAGTTTTATTTAGTTATTTTATATGCCTGCTTTGTTGTCTTCATTACTGAATCAATCACTTGACAAGTGTAATGTGAGAGGTCAAGATTTACGAAATGTGCTTGGATATAGTCAACCTACTGATGGTCCATTTCTGAACCCCAATGTACAATGTCTTATGGGCGGCATTACAAATAAATTGCACGAGTCAACCATAACTATTACAATCCCAGATCTTATTTTATGTATATAAATATAAAAAGTAAGCAGCATAATACTTTTTAACTTTGTTAATAATAATGTTTCTTGAGCACCAAATCAGCATATTAGAATGATTTGAATTCAGCATTGCTGCCACAGTAATAAATTACAGTTTAAAATAGGAAACTATTTAAATTGTAATACTATTTGACAATGTTACTGTTTTTACTATTTTTGGTCAAATTAATGCAGCCTTGCTAAGTATTGGAGACTTGTTTTCAAAACATTAAAACTACTTTTTTAATGGTAGTGTATGTGTGTGCATATATAACTGAAAAGGTCAAAACATACAATGTAATCTTTTAAATGCAATGTTTATTCAACATGTCCATAAAAAGTACACCTCAGGCAAGCCTAATTTTATACATGTCGATGCCTGCAGCTGCAATGTGATATTAAATGAGGGTTAAATGATCTGTAAATATGTGCTATTCTTGTGAGATGTCCACTTGCATTAAACCACAGCAAACCCTTTTTTCTCCTTCTGTCATAATTTCTACATGCGGGAGCAGTTCGGTCAATTCACAGCTACAGTGAATGACTCAGTTAAGTGAAAAACAATAAATAATAAATCTCAGCGGGTATAAATAATACACAACTCGGTAAACTTCGAATGCACTTGGTGCCATGTCCTGGTGTTAACACCATTTTTACGAACAAAAGGCCACCGTGTTGTTCTGCCTAGTCAGTGAAAGGTGGCCATTTGAGAGAATTAGCTGCTTTTCTGAAGTGAGTTACGACAACATCTCGTCCCTTTAAGAAACACTGAATCCCGTGATATTCATCCCTGCAGCGATTGGTTCACACAAATCCTACCCACATTACCTGAAGGTAAGCATACAGTACGAGCTATGTGACACAAGCCATGCCATCTGCACATTTAGCATTGAAACAAGTGTCAGTGTACAAATATCCTCCGTTACATTTGTCTGTTAAGTGTGGTGAAAGAAATATCTTCATCTGAGCCGTGTATAAACAATTCAACTTGAGCTATTGCACAGCGCTAAGAGTGAATTATTTAAGTTCCTCTTCAATCCTGGCTTCTGTATGTTATAAAATCTGGTTCATTATTCTACCTTCTTTCTTTCTGTATTTATTCAAAAGCACATTGCTTTGCCCTTTTGGAAGTTCCTCAGAAGACATGTATGTGTGAGATTGTCAGTTCTCTGTGTTGGCTTTAGCAGAGAGTTGCTGCGGCCGGTGGCGTCGTCGTGTCAAAGCGGGGGAGCTGAATGTGGTTGGCGCTGATGATTGAGACGAGGCGGGGTTTGTGTGCGATCGGTGTGGCCGTGGCTTCTCGCTGTGGCTCTGGCCCTCAAGGGCCCCCTCACAAACCTCCAGCAGCAAGAGCACCTGCTCCCGCAGCGGTAAAGCCTTGAACCTGCGTGCTGCCAAGTAAAAGAAGGCTGCAGTAAATGCCTGAAGACACATTCCTGAAAGAGAGAGAGAGCTTTGCTTTACTTGATGCTTTAAAAAGTCCCTTTCTTAGTTAAAACAGACAATTGTGTTTGCTTACTGTCAAAGTGGAATGTGCTTTAGCTGGACTTTTTTTTTTTTTTGCGAGATTTAAGGTTAAAGCGGCACAATTTATAAAGCCACTGTTACCAGATTTTATTTCCGGTTTTGGGATTATTGAAACATTGCAGATTTCATTCCTTCCCCAGTCAAGTTGATAACAATTCTACATGCGCAGAGATGAAATTAAAGTGTCGACAGATCTTTTCTTTCATATTTTGACATACAACCAAGTGTAATGGATTAGCAAAAAAAAAGGTAGAGCAAGTACTTCCATTTATTCATCAGTTGTTGATTGGATTCTGAGATGTGGGTGTTGCACTCAAAAATGAGACGAATGAGAGCTTGCATAGAGGAGTTTGAGCAGACACAATAGTTAGAGAAGTATTGAAATCTGTCATTTCACCAGATGATTATCTTTTGATGAATTATGAGGTTAAAAGAAAACAAAAAATGGGTGAAATTTACATGTAGTGCCTAAAGTAAAGAGTTTGGAAAGACCTAATTATTAAACTTTGGCACATAACTTCATATAAATATACAGTATGAGTAATAGTCATTCCATACAAACCAAACAAGACAATACATGCAGTTGTCAAATAAAGAGTTTACTGAAAGATTTGAAGAAAAGCTATTACTAACATTATTTCCGAGCTGTAAGCGGCTTTAATCAGAAGTGTACATATGGCAGATTTCCCTTCTGCTTATTTATTAATTAACAGGGCTTCATCTGTGTATTATTTAGTGCAGTCGTATCTCCACGCTGATGAAAACTTAATTACAGTATATTTATGTTCCTGCTAAAAACTTCATATGCAAGCTCAAATCATCAGCAGGAAATTTCTGAAGGTCACGTCTGAGCCTGCGAGCCGAGGGAGAGAAATACAGACAGCTTCTTTCGAAAGGGAAAAACTTTGTACATTTTAAACGTGGTGAAATTCTCTCTGCACATTTCCACAGGAAGGCACTTGTACTTTTATTAAGGGTCCCTGGGACCCTCAGGGGGTTGGAGCCTGAAAGTGGATGCAGATCACTTGTCTGACTACATATACAGAGCGTTAATGAGCCCTCGCTGTGGACAATATGGAGCCGTGAAAATCCTCTCGAAAGAAAATGAGGCGCCCTGCTGCGCTGGTCAGAAATATGTGTACATTGAGAATGGATGGCCACAATTAATAAGCAACGCTGTTCTCCAGAAGGAGAAAATGGGTTTCATTAAGCAGACTAATGAGGAGCACTAAAAGAATTCAGCATTATAATGTCAAATGAAGTAGACTGAACTCTGGGATGGACAGGAGGATTAAGACTCTGTCCGAGTGTCAAGTCAGCATTCCTCAAAAGTAAATGTATTACTATTAATGAAGATCATGGCAGCGCTATCGCTCCTCTTCCTCCTCAGGGATAAACAGTCCGATCCCCTTCTTTTAAATAGCAACTTCTATTATTTATAAATATCTAACCTTATCCAGCAGTTATTACTTTCCTCACGCCACAGTCTGGCTTCTTGTGAGTGTGTGTTGATTCCCTACTGTAAGGCGCTAATAACCAAATTCAGTGCAACCTTCCGAAACGTTCCAGAATTCAGCTCACATCATTCCACTCTGGCCATTTAGGAGCACAGAGACTCGAGTATATATTCATTCATTCTCTCTTTTGATTAGGAGAAGCGAGGCCTGGCATGCATTATTCATTTAATACGTTCCTCCAAGAAAACGATGCTAGCATGACCCAACCTAATGCACCATCACAAAGAATATTAGCAGTGCTCATTTAAAAGCAGAAATGACTTGTGGGCACATTAGCTTTGACACACACACACACACAATGTCCCCATTTACCAAAGTAGCGTTTCAAAGTGAAAGCAAAAA